AACCCAACTGCACTCTCACATTTTGCATTCGGTTACTATCAACGAAAGTTTCAATTAAAAAGACTACTCTCGGCCTTAGGGAATGCCATTCTACCCGCACCCAACGGGTTACCCGCATCCCCGCCCCAATGGGTAATAAAATACCCGCATAATTTGGGTAATGGGTGCGGGTATGGGGAAAAATTTTAAACCCGCGCGGGTATGGGGGCGGGTGCGGGGAGAGGTATCCCCGCCCTGCACCCGCCCCGCATATATATATATATATATATATATATATATATATATATATATATATATATATATATATATATATATATATATATAGTGTTATTATATTTATGTCAATGTCAATATCAAAGTACTATGTTATTTATTTAAAAGTGTTGGCATAATTGTTGAACATATGCATGCAATAAATATGTTAGAATGTATTAAAAAAAAAAACAATATAAAATTTAACATGAACTTTGATCGATTAATTAGTCAGAGATTATGTCCCTGATTAGCTCTGAAGTGGTCCTTGTATCTTTGGGATTTTAAAAATATTCTTCAATTTAATCCCATACTAGTTAAACTAGTATTTTTCATTGTGAGAATATTTTCACTGTAAGTTCATCTTCATCTTCTTCATTCTCACGTCTGGGTGTTCTCAGATCGTTGTAGTCTCCCATAACTACCCATGGCATCGTACTTTGATTTGCAAGATTGCGCAATAGTTGCCAAACCTCTCTCCTCCGTGACCTCTCTGGATAACCATAGTATCCTATAAAACGCCACACCGGGCTCCCTTCATCAAGACTCAGTGTAGTGTCAATGAAATTATTGCCGTAAGTAGTAACCTGCAAGTTCACAATATTAGCCTCCCTCAGAGGTATCCCCGCCCTGCACCCGCCCCCCATATATATATATATATATATATATATATATATATATATATATATATATATATATATATATATATAGTGTTATTATATTTATGTCAATGTCAATATCAAAGTACTATGTTATTTATTTAATCTGTTAGATCTCATCTCTAGTCTCTACTTCAGTTGGTAGTTATTTGGTGAAGACTTTGATGGACTAATATTATAGGAAGGAATTTCATTACCCGCGCGGGTGCGGGTGCGGGTATGGGGAGTGAGGTGGGATTGCGGGAGCGGGGGCGGGGGACGCCCAACCCCATTGTCATCCCTACTCGGCTTCTTCGCGGGGATCAGATCCGCAAGGACTCGAACTGTCGTCGGGTTGCCAAGCCCTCGGAAATTCCACGACAAAAGGCTCATAATTCTTGGCGGGCTTGTGCTGCAAGTCCCGCCGTCTCCCCATTTTTTTGCACTGCACTGTCACATTCCATCCTTGCCTCCTCACTTGCACTATTTGTGTCAACCCGCTTTCTCTTTGTGTCATTACTCACAAGTAGAGCCCCAGTACTACCACCGGCTAGTGTGCTGTCATCTACAGACATCCAAGGAGCCATCCAATCCTTACGCTCGGCGTCAAGTTTGGGTGCAATCTACCGTTTCCCTGCGGTTGGAACCAATTGGCGATTCCCTGCCCTTAGCCATGAACCATATGGTTTTCCGGCCTGGACATCAAAACCCTGGGCAATTTTGGGGCATACCCTATCCCCATGTCCAATTATCCCGCATATGAAACAAAAAGTAGGCAACCTCTCATAGCGGAAGTCTACATATACCCGTGTTCCATTATATTTTTTAAGTTTCATCTGCGTTTTTAAGGATTTTGTAACATCAAGAGTAACACGTACCTAGTAATATGTTCTCATCGAGCCGCTGAAGTTTCTGTCATCCGTCTTCACCAGAGTCCCCAGAAAAGAACCAATCGTCGAAACCACTGCATCAGACCAGAACCCAGCTGGCAAGGAGTGTATTTGGATCCAGAAATTAGCATGGTTTAGTGACAGTGATTCCGGATCATCGGCTGGTCCAGTCTTCTGCATGACCAATAGGTTCTGCTCATATGTCCAAGGTCCATCATTGAGGATCCGCTGCAGGTCTGTTTCATTGTAGAAACGGAAGAGAAATCGTTGTGGCTGCAACTGCTTCATGGTTACCCCCATTGCCGATTGCCATACGGTGGCCATCGTATCCTGGAAGAAAAGGAATTTTGTCTGTTTATTGGTTACCAGCCGCCAAACCGCGTAGAAGTGTGATTCCTGGTTCTCATCACTGATGTTGATGTTAGGGATTTGCATAGAAACATCATCATCGTCTACGTCAGCGAGCATGATGTTGCCATACATGTTACTTACGTCGTTGTTAATTTCAGAATCCATAATCAAACCATCCAAGACGGCCTAAACCCTAGAAAGGTAAGGGTATAGAAAACTCGCGAATGATTGCGAGAGAGATAAAAACTTTTTTCCCCTAAGTAAGATAGTCGATTATATTTTTTATTCTCCCAATGGTGTTATGTTTTCATGTTCATTCGAAGATATTTAAGGTGGTAAACCAACTTAGGTTACCTATAATTGACCATTCAAACTAACAAACTCAATAAATAACTATCATTAAAGTCCTTATAATTATTACTGGGATTTCTCTATTTAAAAAAATCTAATAAAAATTTAGTTATTAATTTTAATGATTCTCAATATACCTGGAGTCTTGTAACATGTATAGCGAATGTTGTAAATATTTATTGTGACACCCCGTAATCCAAATTCGATTAAGGGATTAATTAAGTAATTAATCCTAATTCAATTGGTAATTTAATTCCTTAAATTCCTAAAAATTCAATAGTCGGGGACTAGTAATTGACTAGTCAACCCAAAGTCAAGGTTGTACCTTAAGCTTTGTGAGTAGTTCCCTTACACCTCTTCATTTTAGTAAGGGTATTCATGACATTTCACCTTGTGTTAGTAATGCAAGCTAACCTTGTAGACACTCCTCATTCTTTCTCCTTACACTTCCCAAACTTGAGCTCTCCCTTCTCTCTAAAAGTTAGATAGCTTTTCTTCCAAGCCAAGTTGGAGCTTTGTCAAATCTTCAAAGGTTGTCTCCAAGATTCTACCTTTCATACATTTGAGCATCTAGGAGGGTAAGATCTATGTTCATCTTGTGTTTTTAGTGTTTTCTAAGGTGTCTTTCTTTAAAGATAGAATCTTTATGATCTTTTGGTGTGTTCTTGAAGTGGGTTTGGAAGGTGACCTTAGTAGGAGCTTGGTGAAGTGTTAAGTGAACGTTTTTGTCTACAAGAGGTAACCCATGCTCTACAAAATCTATTTTGCTTACCTATATGATGATTTCTTGGATTCTACATGTGTTTTGCTATGAAATGTGAGTGTTTATGCATTGTCTTGTGAAAATGCATATCTAGAGCTTGTGTTTAGGGTTCTTGTATGCCATTGCTTGGCTATTCCTTTGATTCAAGTTATTTTGTTGTATTTGGTGAGATTTGGCATGTTTTGGACTTGAATTTGAGCTTGGTGTTGAAAATCCCCGAAGGGATGTTTTGGTACAGGGTAGTGTACCCGCAGGCGGAACAGCGGGCAGAGCTCCACCCGTCGCCCCACCCGCGGGGTACATGGCCGGTGGGTGTTGTACCCGCGGGCGGAACCACGGGTGGGGGTCTACCCGTGGGTCCACCCTCGGGGAACATGATGAGGTTGTTGGGGGATTTGTTCCCCGTGATTCCTTTGACTAGGAATAAAGGTTGCAAAAATCGCTAGGCGCCCTCTAGGCGCCTGGGGACCGCCTAGGCCGCCTAGAGCACCTAGGCGGGCGCCTAGAGCGATTAATCGGCGCCTAGAGCGCCTAGGCAGGCGCCTAGGGCGCATAGCCTCTATTCATATATAGTTGACTTTCTGTATGCTTGATATTTGCTCTCTTATGCAAAATAATACTTGTACATAATCCACTACCTAATTGTATACGTTTTCCCAAAAAAAAAAAAGAATAAAATTAGATATTTTACGTCTTTTGTGAAAATTTTGCATCCAAAGAGTTTTAATTCCTTCTCTTGCTATATAGACATGAGAATATCGTCCATTAAATTTTTGGAATAGCATTTACTTTTTCGAATGTTGTGTAAATCGGCCAAACTAAATGCATGGTTTTACTTTTGGCCATTTGTGGTGAAAAACTTGTCATGGGCAATTCGAAAAGTAATTTAAAGCGATGCATGGAATGTTTTGCTTGGTGGAATATTAAGCGATGCATGGATACTTTGTGAAATATGCATGTTATCTTTCCGTATTATCTTTATTAAATTTGCATGGAAGAATATTTCTCTTGCAAGTATCCGAAAGGTTAATTTTATGGCTTCTTGTATATATTCGAAAGATCAATTTGTATTTCGAATTTTATCTTTTGCTTCATCTCTTGAAGTTTGTTTTGCATCTAGAAGATGTTAAATTCCTTATTTTGTTATGTTTACATGGAGAAATATGAATGTATATGAGAACATTTGAAACATGTTTTGTAGATCATGCCTTCTATTACTAGACGAGAATTTACTGAGCTCGCACTTGACGGAAGCAACTATTTGACTTGGGCTCTAGACATCGAGATTCACCTCGCGTCTAAAGAACTAAGCCAAACCATTATTGCCGAGTCACAGTGTACTAACGCCCAGAAGGCGCAGGCTCTCATTTTCTTACGTCACCACTTGAACCACGACCTGAAAAATGGATACTTGACTGAAAAGGACCCTTTTGCATTGTGGAAGTCCCTGAAGAACCGTCAAGAAGTTTCAGAGAAATACTTTAGTGATCAAGAATGAATTATTTTATGTTCTTGGTTTATGAACCTATTTTTTCGTATCGTTTTCTTTTGAATTATGAACTTATGTTTTTCATATCATTTTTATGACTTGTTATATGTCTTTCTATTTTATCATGGTAAATGGTTCACCTCCTTTTTTTTTTAACCTTCACATGCTATTTTTGTGCCAAGGCATTGGTTAATTAGTAATGAACAACTATTGTTCGAGAAGTAACCCCGAAGATCTTATAACATTGCAAAGTTGTTGTTCGCACAATGGAGCATGAACTAACATTGTGCTTGGTGGATAGTGCAACCACGCATACTATCCTAACGGATATGGGGTTTTTTCGTACCTTAAACAAATCAAGTAGTAATATTACTACCATTTCTAATGATCAGGTACAAATAGTGGGCTCCGGAAGAGCATCTATCATCCTCCCTAAGGGTACAAAGCTACTGATTGAAAATGCTTTGTTATACCCTCAATCTAAACAAACATTGCTAAGTTTCAAGGATATTTGTTTGAATGGTTTCCATACTGAAACCAAGACTAAGAACAATGAGGAGTTCTTAATCATGACTCAGTTGATGACTGGTAAAAAACGAGAGGTCGAGGAACTTGCCTCCTTATCCTCTGGGTTATATTATACCTATATACAACCCAATGATTCATTTGTTGCACTAACTATGAAACTCAAAAATTCACATTCTTTTAAAATGTGGCATGACCGTCTGGGTCATCCTGGACAAAATATGATGGGTTGGATCATATCTAATTCTGCTGGACATAACCTGTCGAGATCTCAGGTACTTTCGCCAAATATGTTTACATGTGTGACTTGTGTGAAAGGTAAATATATTGTACGCCCGTCGCGTACTAAGGTTGGACATGAATCGCCTATATTTATGCAGAGATTGCAGGGCGATATTTGTGGACCTATTAGTCCACCTTCTGGACCATTTAGATATTTTATGGTCCTTATTGATGCTTCCACTCATTGGACTAATGCTAGTCTACTGTCCACGAGGAACAAAGATTTCACTAAATTTGTTGCGAAAATTATTGAGTTGAATGCCCAATTCCCATATTATCCCATTAAATCAATAAGAATGGATAATGCTGGAGAATTCACGTCAACGGCTTTCAATGATTATTGTATGGCCTTGGGCATCAAAGTGGAGCATCATGTACTTTATGTCCATACTCAAAATGGCTTGGCTGAGTCTCTGATTAAGCGTATTAAATTAATCGTTGGACCATTATTGCATAAGTCCGTTTACCGGTCTCATGTTGGGGATATGCAGTATTACATGCTACAACTTTAATACAAATCTAACCCAGTACATATCATGATTATTCCCCCTTGAAACTACTACGTGGTGTAGAACCTAACATTTCCCATCTGTGTGTATTTGGGTGTGCAGTTTATACCCCCATACCACCTACAAACTGTACCTCCATGGGCCCGCAGTGAAAACTAGGTATATATGTTGGTTATGAATCTCCTTCCATCATTAAATACCTAGAGCCCATGACAGGAGATCAGTTTATCGCGAGGTACGCTCACTGCATTTTTTATGAAGATCATTTCCCAGCATTAGGGGGAGATAAAAGATCTTATTTATCGAAATTCTAGGAAATCTCATGGGATGAAAAGGATCTTCAGTATCTAGACCCACGTACTAGTCAAACTGAACTAGAAGTTCATAAAATTATTAATTTGCAAAATTTAGCAAATAACCTACCAGATGCTTTTACTGATAACAGAGGAGTGACTAGGTCTCATATCCCTGCTGTGAATGCTCCTTCGAGAGTTGAAGTCCCCAAGGGACCAAGTATGCACACTGACACTCCCCATCGCCAGAAGCGCGGGAGACCACTTGGTGCAAAAGATTTAAATCCGCAGAAGACGAGAATTGGTAAAATATCTAAGTTACTCCAGAAAAATGTTAACCGTCCTGAAGACGGTCGTCCCAAAGACGGAGAACCTAGTGAACCTGCACGTGCTCTAAATAATATGAACACTGGGGATGCGGAACATCCAGATCAGAATATTTTGGGAAATGATGATGATCTGGTTGATGTCAATATAGAAACTGCCATAAATTTTGTTGATACAGGAGAAACATATAACAGAGATTTAATAGTCGTCGACGACACTTTTGCCTATGCAGTTGCCTATAATATTCCACAAAATAATCTGGATCCAGAACCAAAGTCAATAACTGAGTGCCGGAAGCGCTCTGACTGGTTGAAGTGGAAACAGGCAATTGAGGCACAGCTCAACTCGCTTAATTAAAGAAATTTTTTTGGTCCCACCATACTTACCCCAAGAGATGTTATCCCAGTAGGATCTAAGTGGGTATTCGTACGGAAGAGGAATGAAAACAACGAGGTGGTTAGATATAAAGCAAGATTGGTAGCTCAGGGGTTCACGCAGAGACCTGGAATTGATTTTGATCAAACATACTCTCCTGTTATTGATGGTATTTCATTCCGCTATTTAATATCACTGGCAGTAAACATGAAATTAGATATGCAGTTGATGGATGTAGTGACAGCTTACCTTTATGGGTCACTAGATGCTGATATATACATGAAAATACCCGAGGGTATTCAAAATTCCAATATGAGGGAGAAAGATCGAAACATGTATAACATCAAACTTCAAAGGTCATTATATGGCTTGAAGGAATCTGGGAGAATGTGGTATAACTATTTGAGTGAATTCCTCCTGAAGAAGGAATATGTTAAAATGATATTTGCCCTTGTATATTCATTAAGAAGTCATCTAATGGTTTCTGTATTATATCTATCTATGTCGATGACATGAACATTATTGGGACAAAGGAAGACCTTATAGAAGCATGTTCATGCTTAAAGGCAAAATTTGAAATGAAAGACTTGGGAAAAACCAAGTTTTGTCTCGGCCTGCAGATCGAGCATCTCCCCAATGGAATTTTCATTCACCAAGCTAACTATGTTAATAAATTATTGGAGAAATTTTATATGGATAAATCTCATCCCCTTAGCACTCCAATGGTAGTCCGGTCCCTTGAAGCGGAAAAGGACCAATTTAGACCTAAGGAGGATAATGAGGACGTACTAGGACCTGAAGTTCCTTAGCTAAGTGCTATTGGAGTCTTGCTTTATCTAGCTAATTGCACTAGACCGGATATTTCTTTCTCGGTGAATTTGCTTGCTAGATTTAGTGCCTCTCCAATCAGAAGACATTGGAGTGGAATAAAGCATATCTTTAGATATCTCCAAGGGACAAAAGACCTTGGTCTTTATTTTGAAAACAACCAGGACATTACTTTGACGGGGTATTCAAACGCTAGTTATATGTCTGACCCTCATACTGCTAAATCGCAAACAGGTTATGTTTTCCTTTGTGGAGGTACAGCTATATCTTGGAGGTCCATTAAACATACCTTAGTTGCTACCTCATCTAATCACTCGGAGATAATTGCTTTATATGAAACCGCACACGAATGCGTATGGTTGAGATCACTGATACAACATATCCATCACTCATGCGGAACAATGAGCAATGTTGATTCCCCGACTGTCCTATATGAGGACAATGCAGCATGTGTTGCACAGATGAGTAATGGGTACGTTAAAGGAGATCTTACCAAACATATCGCTCCTAAATTCTTTTACCCACATGAACTCTAGAAGAGTGGTGAGATCATTGAAAAGGTTCGCTCTAGTGAAAATCTAGCAGATTTGTTCACTAAGTCCCTGCCTACATCCACCTTTGAGAAGCATGTTTATGAAATTGGGATGCGAAGGCTAGGAAGACTGTTGTTTTCAGGGGGAGCGATAAACTCTAAAGTTTAAATCTGGAAGATGATGCCCGGAAGGCTTACAGTTGTACTCTTTTTCCCTTAGCTAAGTTTTTCTCCCACTGGGTTTTCTTAGGCTAAGGTTTTTAACGAGGCAACCGATATGCAACACATACTTTATACTACATGTACTCTTTTCCTCGACTAGGTTTTTCTCACAGGATTTTTCTAGCGAGGTTTTTAACGAGGCATGAGTATAATTATTTAATGGCCAAGGGGGAGTGTTGTAAATATTTATATTTATGGCCATTAAACTATTAGACATTTCACTAGCTTAGCCTTTAATCATGTATTGATGTTGTGTACTTGAAAGGTTGTATATGACTACTATATAAGTGAGTGAAGGTGAATGAAAGACTACACACTTACATGGTTGTGGTGCTCAATTGTGTTCTTCTCCTTCTTCCTTCTTATTGTTTTATTCTACACACGTATACACATACATATAAACCTCGGGCTATTACCGTACAGACACCGCGAGACAACTAACAAGTTGATAGGTCAAAACGTAACAATACATTATTTTTGAGCTAACTAAATTTAAGATGCATATAAAGTATGTACTTGCTTAGCACATTTAGATGTAATAAATTGAGGGCTTTGATCTAAAAATATCATAAGATTTAAAAAGTCAAATGTAAGTATTGAAGATTGGGAGTTTCAATTATAAAAATAAAAATGATTTGGGTTGGATCGAAGGGGAGAAAAAAGGGTGGGGGCTACCTAAGCTTAAAGCATGTGCACTTGATACTTAGTCATTCTCTTCACTCCCCTTTTTGTGGCAATAAATTGCGCCTTTTAAAACTTTTCTCCACGTTATTTTTTTCTTTTTTAAAAGTTTGACCTACAACTGGTGGACCACCAATAAATTAATTACTGAGTATTATTATAGGCCCTCTTTGTTATTTTCTCTCTTATATTATTACTAGTCTTTTCTTTGCACATTGTGTAAAAACATATGTTTAATATTTATATATTTTTTAAAATAATTAACAAATCTCTACTAATTAAAATTTATATGAAATCAAATTTATTTATTATAATAATTCAATATAAGAAAATATATGGTGTATGCATATGCATGGTAACAATAATGGAAAAGATAACAGAAGTTATAACAGTAGGGGTATTTTTGTCCAAAAAATTATATAGTACAACTCTAAAAGCACAATGTACAAAATGATTAGCATTAAAAACATAGATATAAATGAAGGATATAACTTTGATTGGGACTTATTATATTTTTAGATTAGATTATTACTAGTATTATTGAGTATTATTATATTTTTTTATTACGAAGGAAGGGGGATACACATACAAACTACGCCTACAACGAGGCTTGAAACCTAGACCTCCCACATAGGGGAGCAATTTGATACCAGTGGACCACAAGCCACTTGGTATTGAGTATTATTATATGCCCTCTTTGTTCTTTTCTCTCTTGTATTATTATTACGAATTATGATGCATTACACGATTAAATTAATGTCTAATATAAAAATTAAAATAAATAAATACTTAGTGAAATTTTTTAAATATTAAATAATTAATATCAAATAAAAATAATTATTTTTAATATAATCAAAAGGAATAAGGGTTAAATAGGCCACCCAATTGTACACCAAAGTGCAATTAGGTCACCGAACTAAAAAAAAATGCAATTGGATCCCTGAACAACACAAAACTATGCAATTAGATCTAAAATGACATGTTTACCTGAAATTGTAGGTTACTGATTTTTAAAATAATTTTTAAAACTAATTTTAAATAAAATAATTAATTAAAATTAAAATTTAAACCAAAAAAAAAAAAAAAAACTAAACCTGCTGGAGACGACCCATTGTGCAAGGGGATTATAATTATGTTGTGCAATGCAGTGGCGGAGGGACATTGTTATTGCAGCCCCCCCCCCCCCCCCCCCCCCCTCCAATTTTTTTTTTTTATTGATAGTAATATGAGAGGAGGATTTAGAGGAAAATGTAACTGGGCGTCTTGGCCTTGGCCCCCCTCCCAAAAAAAAATATTAATAGTATATTATTATTTTTTTGGTCCTCTTCACCAAGGAAAATTATGAGTTGTGAACATAATTATGAACATATAATTCTGTAATTATAAATATAGAGATTCAATAATTGTGAATATGAAGTTCAAAGTTCAAAATTATGAGTATATAGCTTTATAATTATGAACATATAATTCAATAATTATGAATATATAGTTTAATAATTATGAATATGAAGGTAAAACATTATGAATATATAGCTTTATAATTATGAACATATAGTTCAGTAATTATGAACATAGAACCGTGTTCACCTTGCAAGGTGGACACAGTTCCACAGTATAATGATTGCTTCATCAAAGTATCTGCACTCTCCAAACAAAAAATTTTAAACTAAGCTTTCAAAATCTTATTTGATCGCAACTAGTCCTGGCAAAAAATATGATTTCTTCTTCTTGAACATACACAATCACATAGTCTAACATGCTCAAAATTTCTTCATCTTGAAATATGTATAAGCCAAAAATATGGCTTATATATATTTCTTATTCTTTTTTTTTCTAGATTCATTTTTCTAAAACTAATAAATTTTTTCCTTATTGATCCACACTTTTAATTTAAATTTGTTTAAAGGGTTTTGACAATGTTTATATGTGAAATATCCATATTTAAAAAATGTTTGATCTTTGGTGAATGGTGATTCTTTGTGGACTGACGGCTCACAGCTCTTGATCATTGGTCACAACAAGTGAGATTTTTTTTTTTTTATTTCTTTGATATAATAGCATTTGAACTAATATGCTTTGCCTAGCTTTGCAACTTCAATTTCAAGAAATATTGAATGCAATGCATCTTGTGTCATCTACTAAGTTGCTTATTCAAAATTTAAGAGATAATAGATGGGATGAATTAGTTGCAAGTGTGAAGTCGTCTTTTTATGAAACTGTCAACATAATTGTGCCGAATTTTGATCCTCAATATATTGCAAGAAGAGGAAGGTCTAGGCATCAACACGATGAATTAACAATTGGGCATCATTACAAATTTGATATTTTTAATGCCGTGATTGATTCTCAGTTACAAGAGTTGAGCAATAGGCGGGTTTGATGATAAAGCAATGGAGATAATTATTTTCAATTCATCGTTACATCCAAAATATATGCGTATATCATTCAGAATTGATGACGTTTGCAAGTTGGTAGAGATATTTTATCCTCAAGTTATGAAGTTAATTATTCTCACTTCATCGTTATTCTCTCTCAAATTATTATTGGCCCCCCGCACCAACAAATCCTGGCTCCGCCCCTGACGCAATGGGTTTATAATAGGAATTTCAACATAATAAGGGGATTATAATTTGGAATTCCTATTTTACCCCTCTATTATTAAATTGTTTTTAAGCTTTCCGTTAGCTGCAGACAAAATATTAACGCTATGGACCAAACTCGTCACTTTGCTCATAACCGAGGGACTAAACTCAGGACCAAACTTGCCACTTTGCTCATAATTGAGGGACTAAACTCATATACGATCATAACTTAGAAACTTATTATAATTCAGGGACTAAAGATGCAATTTTCCCTAATCATAAATATATTTTAGATTAGAGCAAATACCAATTTTGGTCCCACGAGTATTTGCAAAATGACAATTTTGGTCCACATATTTAATTTCTACCAATTGTCATCCACGACTATTGTTTTAGTACCAATTTCCATCCACAACTATTATTTTAGTGTCAAAATTCATTACACCGGTCACCCCTATGTTTAATATATGCCAAAATATGAAATTGTTAAGGGTATTTTTGTCCTTTTGAAATTAAGATCCCAATTTGAACATGAATAAAGGGATTCAAGTCCTAAGATCAATATCAATTTACAGTTCACAACCTCAAATTAAGGTAGGATGAGGAGGAGAAGTGCGAAATGAGATCAATCTTAGGGTTTAAATTTCATTATTCATACTCAAATTGAGATCTTAAGTTGAAAATGATGAAAATACCCTTAAAATTTTTAGATTTCGGCATGTCTTAAACGAATGATTGACCAGCGTGATGAATTTTGGCACTAAAACAATAGTCGTGGATGAAAATTGGTACTAAAACAATAGTCGTGGATGAATATTGGTAGGAATTAAACATGTGGACCAAAATTGGTATTTGTTCTTTTAGATTATAAGTCAGAAGACTAATCCCTGTCCCTACACTAAGTGGTAGGGGAAGAGACAAGATACTGAACCACCACGCCAACTATGTTGTAGAATATAGTAAAAGATTTTTAGTACTTTTTACAGGGTATGGAATGACTTTATTGTTGGCACTACCGCATACCATATTAATGTATAAGTATTTGAGAGTCTTTTAAATCAATTGATATCGTGCAATATGTTTTTTCTACCATTATTCAGGGTAAGAACAATGAGGCCCTTATGGTTAGGTGCCATCTATCACTGAAGAATTCATAAATCATTAAATTTAAAAATATAATATTGCATGTGAAACAGGTAGTATTAAGTAAAATAAAAGAGTTACTACTTCACCAGTTACAGCCGGTCAGGCCTAGCATTGCTTGCAGATTAAATGTAAGCAATTAATATGAGTCCTTTGAATCAATTCTGTACTTATATAGTGTACACAATATTCAATGATTTAAAGTTAGTTAGATCTCAATCCTTTTTTTTGTTTAAATAATAATTTTCTTAATTTATTCATTAAATTATTTGATGCTTCCAATGTTATTCTTCTCAACAGATCCAAGTTACTGATTTGCTGCTGCCTGCTCGACAGGTTCTCCCATCCAAACTACTACTTTAAAAAATGTCAGAAATACTTCATGCAATAACAGTCTAACGGACTATAAAATAATAAATGCCATCACCCAAAAAAAAAAAAAAAATTCAATGCTCATATGTAAAGATATTTAATTTATCAAGTTGGATTCAAATATCTTAATTAAGATATTCATGAGGTTGCCTTTTAACCCCCCCCAAAAAACTTTAATAATAATTAGTGGGATTGAATATTTTGAGATATTGAGTTAGGTGTATGGACCGATTTAAGGGAGGCAGGGAGCCACGTTTGCTTGGTGGAGTTAGACAAATGTTAGGGCCTAGTTAGCCGAGAAGATCGGCTCGGGTAAAGCAAAAGTTGTTTATGACTAATTGTGTTGAGGAAAGACTTGAACGGGTACACCATAATTGTATTTTGTATCTGTATTAATTGTAATTAGCAAGGAGTTATAATTTGGTGTAATTAGGGGACACAATGATGATATCTACACTTACAAATAGGAATTTCGTCTCTATAGCGAGACATAATATTTTCTATTGTTTAGTGATAATAATAATACATATTTTGCAATATTTTTTTAGACTTTATTGCTAATTAATCCTTTTAACTCTAATGGCCCGACCCGTTTAGTTCACGGAATAGGCCGGGAATGACATAGTATTCTCAGTAATAGGCCTATTCCGTTGTTTGGTAACAATTTCTATTACCAGGAATAATATTCCTGGTGGCTGGTAATAGCCTATTACCTCAAATAAGGTAATAGCTATTACTAGGGCCCCCCCTGGTATTAGTCTATTACTGAACGCTCAGGAATAAATTTTAGAATTTATTTCCTTTTTTACCCCTTTCTTTAACCTAATTTTTTTATCCTATATATAAATTTATCCTATTTCACCACCGTCGTCGCCGCCACCACCACCACCACCATTGCCGCCGCCGCCACCACCACCGTCGTCGCCCCTACCACTGCCATCGCCACCGCCACTACCACCATCACCACCATCGCCACCACCACCGCCGCCGCCGTCACCACCACCACCGCCACCAGAACCACCACCCAGCAGCACCACCGCCACAACCGTCGCCGCCCCCACCACCACTGCCACAACCGTCACCGTCACCACCACCACCGTCGCTCCCACCACTGCCACCGCCACCACCACCACTACCACCCCAGCACCATCACAGCCACCGCAATCACCACCATCACATATTTTTATAAGGGTATTTATGTCTTTTAAAACATATTTCATTTCTATTCCTTAAATCAACCAAACACTGTAATATAATTCCTAAAGTCTATTCCTCCCGCGAACCAAACAATAGAATACAATTCCTATTCTATTCCTTCTATTCCATTCCTTATGAAATAACATTCCTATTACCTCAAAATTCATTCCGTAAACCAAACGTGTTGTAAGTTTATTCTTGATCCCGGATTAAGTCGATAAATTAAGCTACATTAGTAATTGTGGTCATTTGAATTAAATTATTATGGTACATTGAGTTCCCACTTCCCCATAAGATATTGAAGAAATATTTATGACGTAAACACATTTTTAGTATAATAATGGAACATTGAAATACTAATTTTTATATTTCGAGATAATTTTGTTTAAAATTAGATATTAACTAAAACTAAATTTAAAAAAAAAGGTGGATAAATTGAAAAAAGAAATTGCTAAAATTTACAAATAATTGAAAATGTAGTATGAGGTATGGTGCCGACGTGCCGCAAATTAAACATCTTTGAGAAATTGTCGAATTTCATCGTACGCTACGTTGTCTCTTAAAATAGCAAACAAGATTTGGAGTGGAATACTTCCAACACAAATTAAAGGAACAATGACTAGAGAGTAGAGACGGTGGGGGTTCAAATTCTACTGGAATAGAAAAAGGCTCAAGAATGCTTGAAGATCTGAATTAGATTGTTTGTGCGCATATGAAAATTACAATATGATCAATGAATTAATTGTGTGACTCGCGATTTTATTTGTGCAATAACATTAAGGGCGGGGTCCTGTGAATTTAGAATTAATCCAACGAAAGTGGAATCATCTAAATTAAAAAATAAATAAATTAATTAAGATCGTTTGTGCGCATATGAAGATTGGGATCAGACCAATGGGTTAATTCCGTGACTCGCTATTTATCTCTACAGTAACTTTAACGGTGCGGTTATGTGAATTTAGGATTAGTCCGGCGAAACTGTAATCATCTAAATTAAAAAAAAAAAAAAAATTAAGATCGCTTATGCACATCCGAAGATTAAGATCTGACCAATGGGCTGATTGCTTGACTCGCAATTTATCTATACAGTAACTTTAAGGGCAGGGTCCTGTGAATTTAAGATTAATTCGACAAAGTGTGGAAGCTACCTCTCAAAGTGAGGGGGGTTCCTTGTGCGCAGTGAGCACCGGTCTAGCTTCTGTGGTTCATGTTCAGTTGAATTATCATGATTTACATCCTCCCAAATGCTCCGTCGGGTCGGGTCAGAGTGTGGGACCCTTAGGGTTGGGGTTCAACTTTTTTGGAAGAAGATTAATTCGACAAAACTGAAATCATCAAAATTTAAAAAAAAATGAAATTAGAGAAAAAAAAAAAACTTGCAACACAAATTAATTAATAGTGAGTTAATTTAGCATAAGTTGAAAAATATAATTTATGAAAAAAGAAATTAATAACGGCGATAAATGGTGTTGAGATTTTGAGGTCACAGCGACGTGCAATCAGCTTCTTCGATACCGGCTAATCTTTCGCTCTCTCGGAGACGGGGAGTTCCCTTTTTCTGTTTTTCATCCTTTCACAGTTTCACCCATCACCCTCCAATTTCTTTTTCTCTTTCTTCTGCGGAAGAATACAGAAAAGTGGAAACTCCGACAGGGACAGAGAAGAGGGAGGGACACTGTAAAATACTCAACATTTTTGGTGTAACCACTCTCCTTCTCTTCTCTTCTCTGTCCTTTTATATTCCGCTGTCGGTTTTTCTGTATCTATTCACTGCATACATTTTGGGTGGCCATCATTAGAATCAAATATTTCCAACATTTCCTGATCTGGGTGTTCATTTTTTTCTTGATTTTATTGATGGCACTGTGCGGCCCCTCCCTGTTTCAACTCAATAAACCAAAAAAATTCCCATTTTTATTGACCCTTCTGTTCTCCTGTTCTTCCATTGGATTTTGATTCCAACTGAATTTTAAGGGTTGAGGAGTGAATGCATGAAAGGGGTGATTTTTATGAGAAATGCCCTTGAGTGTTAGCTCATAGATGTTCTGATCTATCCATTCATTCCCCTTCTTGAATTAGCCAGTAGGGGATAGAAGAGATTTTGAGTGGTGGTAATACTTCATTTGTGCATTGGAAGATGGAAGAGAGAAATGTGCAGTCAGTGGGAATCTTTTGTAAAAAGTCCTCCTTGACTTGTTTGTTCACAGTTACTTCCATCTTCTGCTTCTTGTCTTGGTTTTCAATGTTTCAATCCTCTCATCAGCCATTTTCTTCTATTGACCTTAGTATATCACCCAACTTTAACCCTCTGGCTGTAGTACATGATGATCAAACCTTGGTAAGGAATGATTTTGATGCTGGGATGATAGGAGTAGAATCTAGTTGTAAGCAGCAACTAAAGGTGTTTATGTATGATTTACCCCCAGAATTTCACTTTGGGCTGCTGGGTTGGAAGGGGAAGAAGAGTGTATGGCCAGATATTAGAACTGAGGTCCCACCATATCCAGGAGGGTTGAATTTGCAGCACAGCATAGAGTATTGGTTGACATTGGATCTTTTGTATTCTGAATTTGCTAATTTGAGTGGCCAAAGAAGCGCTCTAAGAGTGCTGAATTCGAGCGATGCTGATGTAGTTTTCGTTCCATTCTTTTCATCTGTGTGCTATAACCGGTTTTCTAGGCTGCAGCCAGACCAGAAAATGAGCACAAATGCTTTACTGCAACAACAATTGGTCACTTTCTTAACAGCTCAAGAGGAATGGAAGAGATCTGGGGGGAAAGATCATGTCATTCTCGCCCATCATCCTAATAGCTTATTAGATGCGCGAACGAAGCTTTGGCCTGCAATGTTCATTCTTTCTGATTTTGGAAGGTACCCTCCCAATATAGCAAACGTCGAGAAAGACATAATTGCGCCTTACAAGCATGTTGTGAGGAACTATATCAATGACTCATCTGACTTTGATAGCCGCCCAACTTTGCTGTATTTCCAGGGAGCTATATACAGAAAAGATGTGAGTTATCACTACCCTTTTGTTCATTATCTCCGATTTGATATGCTACTCTACTTAAAAAGTTGACATATTTGATATTCATTGTTTGGATACATTATAGTAACTCTCAGGCTGACATGCTTATATATATATATATATATATATATATATATATATATATATATATATATATATATATATATATATATATATATATATATATATATATATATATATATATATATTCCATGTTTTCCAAAATCATGGAATTGTGACTATGATGATAGCAGTGGCTTGGTGTCATAATGCTAGTAGTGGTCAATGGTTCATGGCCTTTGTCTCTTTTGTAGCCATTAATAATGGCTTAGGACTAGAGTTTTTACTTTTTATTTTAAATACAAAGATATTGATCACATTAGATATGAAGGAATGGATTGGAACCTTATAAAGGGCTCGAGTCAAGGATATATATGTTTTCAGCATAGAAAAGGATGAATGAAGTAAATTATTTCTTGCGTGAGCAAAGAGCGTTTCCTAAGAAAACCTACAACAACAGATTAAGTGTTTACCCGGCTTGAGAAAATTAAGGAAAACATGTGCTACATTGTTGTCAAAATCAAAGAAAATTATCTTCTAGCTAGAATGATATTGCCCTGTTTGGTAAAAAATTGGCCTATAGGCCAATTTTAGCTTATTTGACCACTATTAATTGTTTGAATTAGTTAAAATATCAATATAAGTGTTTGGTTAATTAGCTTTTTGCAACTCCAAAATGCTAAAATTCAAAAAGCTACTCCTAGCAACTTTTTCAATTAGCTTTTTGAGAAAAGAAATTATACCAAACAGCTAATTTACCAAACACTTTTCTACAACAGCTAATGTTATCAACTAGTTATATCCTCTAATTAACACATACAATCAGCTAACAGCTAACTGCCATTTACCAAACAGCGGATATTGTATTGGTGGGGTTGCTTCCTGGATTTGTTGGATAAATTCATTGTCTTTTTTCTTTTCCACTATTAGTGAAATCTTTGGTTTCAAGAAATGGAGTTATGACACTGAAATTTGGTGTTCATTAGCCAATCTATATAGCAAGAGTGGAATGGATGAGTTTTGCAGGAAAAATCCACCTAAAACGTGGCAAAATACACAACCCCAACAATAAGATTCTTGAAATCTTTCTTCCCATTTTCTTCTGGTTAATTGAAGAATTGCCTTGTTTAAATCGTTTTCCCATCTTTCGTATTTTGCATGCTAAACTCCATAATATCCAATTGTGTGTGGCATTTTCAGGGTGGATATGTGCGGCAAGAGCTATTCTATCTGCTAAAAGACGAGAAAGATGTACACTTCTCATTCGGAAGCATTCAAAATGATGGCATAAACCAAGCCACGCTAGGGATGCAGGCCTCCAAGTTCTGCCTCAACATCGCGGGAGACACTCCCTCATCGAACCGCCTCTTTGATGCCATCGCGAGTCATTGCGTCCCCGTGATCATCAGCGACGAGATAGAGCTTCCATACGAGGACATACTCGACTACTCAGAGTTCTGCATTTTTGTTCGCACAGCAGACGCCCTCAAGGAGAAATTCCTCATAAACTTAATCAGAAGCATCGGAAAAGAAGAGTGGAGTAGGATGTGGATTAAGCTGAAAGATGTTGAAAGACTGTTTGAGTATCAGTTTCCTTCAGAAGAGAAGGATGCTGTCCAAATGATCTGGGAAGCCATTGCCAGGAAGCTCCCTGCTGCAAAAATGAAGATACACAGAAACTGGAGATTTTCTCGAACTAATGGCAGATGACAATGATCAGCTCATCTTGGTATTCTTCATGTATTATATTATTTATTACTTGGAGCATTGTTGGCATAGTGTACATGGTCACACAATCAAATAGCAGTGAATAAGATAACTTTTTTTGGGGGAGAACTAACTTAAGGGTGTGTTTGGTTTGAACATGGGAATTGGAATCAGAATAGAAATTAAGTCCGTTTGGAAAGCAGGAAAATGACTTCTGGAAAATGGTTTCTGGAAAATGAGTCATTTTCTGGAAAACATTTTCCTTTTCCGGTGTTTGGTTGCATTTGGAAAACTGTTTTGGTGTGTTTGGTTCATTTTCTGGAAAATGAGAGTAGAATGGTATAATTAAATATTTTAATTATTTTATTCTAAATTAAAAATTTATTTTAAATCTTTAAAACAAAAAAAAAAAAAAAAAAAAAAAAAAATATGGCTTGCGGCGGGACTGGGTTTCGCCGGAAACCATATCTATGGCTTCTGGCGGAACCCAGTTCCGCTGGAAACCATAACCATGGTTTCCGGCGGAACTGGGTTCCGCCAGAAGCCATAGATATGGTTTCCGGCGGAACCCAGTTCCGCCGGAACCATGGTTATGGTTTCCGGCGGAACCAAACCATAGATATGGTTTTTGGCGGAACCCAGTTCCGCCAGAAACCATAGAATTTAAAAAAAAAAAAAAAAAAAAAAAAAGAAAGAGAAGAGGCGGAAAACGACTTCCGCCCAAATTTGGCGGAAGTCGTTTTCCGCCAAATTGGCCTCATTTTCCCCAGTCAACGGAAAATGGATTCCGTTGACTGGATTTTTCAGGTGTAGCCAAACACCAAAAACCCGGAAAATGACTTCCAGAAGTCATTTTTCGGGTTTCCAAACACAGCCTAAATACTTGGTATTTGGAATGGATTTTGGTGAAAATATTTTGCATGTTTGGTAGTAGGTTGGAATCGGAATGAATATCAATATTGTTGTTTGGTTATGTGTGAAAGGCAATTTATCCTAATATGATGACATCCAAAGTACCAATATGAATGAAAAATCGAAACAAAAATCTAAAAGCACGATTGAAATGAGGAAGGATAATGTTGAATTAATGGAGTGATACCTTATTTAAGTTAGGTAATGAGTTTTTTTAAAGAGTAAATACCCAAAATGGCTCATCGACTATAGCTAAATTCATAAATTGGTCTTCGACTATTGATTTCAACCAATTAAGTCCTTAATTTTTCAATTTTGGCCCAATTAAGTCCTCCGTCTATTTGACCGTTTGTTTACCGTTATATTTGAGGGTATATATGTAATTGCAAAGCTCCGTGGTATAGATTACAGAAACACTTATAAACACATGTCCACGTCTAAACATCCGCACCATACTCTACCAAAATGCTGCTTCTAAATTCTAATCCCTTTGCTAATCACAAATTTCTTTCTTTTTTCTTGATTCGAGTTTTTGATTCTCGAATCTCTTCTTCTCAGATTTCTCCCATGGCTTTACCGCATTTATTACATTCCACTTCTCCTTCTCTTTCTTCGTTAATCTCCCACAAACCCTGCTTTAACCCCTACGCTCGACTTTAACAAGCTCAGTTCGCTCCGCTGCTCGGCGTCGTCCTTCTCCGAGAAGCACCACACTGGCTCTCCCAAATCGGATGACGTAGTTGAGCTCCTGCTTTTCCATCTGTTGTTAGTGCTCTTCCCTGGCGCAATCCTTCCGCTTCAAATCTTCGAGTTTCGATACCGAATCATGATGCACACTCTGCTGCAGACCGATCTCCGATTCGGGGTCATTTACTTTGAAAGAGCCACCGGCACCGCCGAGGTCGGCTGCGTCGGGGAAGTGGTGAAGTGCGGGCGCCTCGTTGACGACTGCTCACGAAGCTGGTCCAGACCAAGCCGTACTTGGTAGTGGAGGTCACGTGGCTGGAGGACCGACCACGTGACGGGGAGGAGGATCTCGAATCGCTCGCCTCTGAAGTCGAAACGTATATGAAAAACGTGATCCGATTATCCAACAGGCTTAACGGCGAGCCGGAAAAGAGGCGCAAGATCTGCGGAGGAATCTTTTTCCGACGCCGTTCTCGTTCTTCGTCGGAAGCACGTTCGAAGGTGCGCCCAGAGAACACCAGGCGTTGCTTGAGCCGGAAGACACGGCCATGCGGCTAATAAGGGAGAAGGAGCTTTGCAATTACATAAATATCATCAGAGATCACGGTTAACAAACGGTCAAATAGACGGAGGATTTAATTGGGTCAAAATTGAAAAGTTAAAGACTTAATTGGTTGAAATCAATAGTCGAGAACCAATTTGTGAATTTAGCTATAGTCGATGGACCATTTTAGGTATTTACTCTTTTTTTAATTATAGGAGTAATAAAATCTTATACATGTAAAAAAGTTGTCAACTAAATAATGTGTATGACTTTCATTCTCATTCTCAATGTCTTTCTATGCATAAGTAGAGCTTCCTGCCCTTTAGTATACAAGATAAGTAGTGGCTTGGTGGTTTGGGGTTTGTGTTTCGTTGTGGAGGTTGTGGGTTTGATAACACTTTGCGCCACATCCATTAATATTTTGCTCCATGCTTTATTCTTCATCCCCTTGCAATAAAAATGATCCCCAATTGGGCCAAGACTTTCCCAATAAAATGGGTCTATGGGCCATGGCCCCATAACTTTGATAATTTTCTTTGCTAATCGATTTTTCTTCTCGATTTTTTTTTTCCGAAACTTATGTTTACTTCTCGGACTTTACTTTCCGGAAGAATTTACTTCTTGGAGTTACTTCTCTGAGTTTGCATACTTATTTATGTAAGTTTTTCACATGCATGCAATCATGACTCCTATATGCAATTGACTGGGTACTAATTCAAAATTAAATTATTATTTTGTTCCATAAATCATATATCGATCTTGGAATTGCTATTATCAACAAATTATGATAATCTTCCTTTGACTAAATTTAAGATGTCAAATCGCTCTCTGGATATGGCATAGTGCAATTCTATGTTATATCAGGAGTGGTATGCTCCTTTATAAAAATGATCTATGATATGATTGATGCCATACATGACATGATTAGTTTAGATGCTATTGATTTGAAAGATAAAAGCGAATAATATCATATCATTTTGTCCGAAGCAAACAGAGGAGTGAATTATATCATGTCAATTTGCACAAAGCAAACTAGTGACTGAAACTAATGATGTTACTCTTTGGAAAGTTGAGGATATGGATTTTTGAAGATCTTGAAGATCTATTTTTATTTGACAGCTCTCCTATGATTGTTGTGTACCCTTATAATTTCGTTTGATATATATGCTTTCAAATCTGATTATATATGCATATAATTCTGGGTACTTCATATGTTGCGATACCTTTTTTAAAAGCTTTAAAGACCCAGATGACTTTATAGTATGGCATGAGCTAGTGGGTCTCCTTATGCAAATTTATTGGTGAGTCATAGTTATATCTATCATAGAGTAGCCTCCTTTATTCAAGTGCATATTTTATGAGACATGTATGAAAAATGTTTTCTTGTTGGGGACAATCAATATTGTATAATTTTATTTTTTTGTCCAAATCTGACCACTGCATATCACAATTATTCTCCCTAATAACATCTAGTACGTGGTAGAAGATCAAACATTTCCCTATCTGTGTTTTATTTGCAGTGTGCACTTTCCTTATATCACCACCATTACGTACCTCCATGGGATATCAAAACCTCCATTTGTAGTTTGAATACATAGAGCCCATGATAGGATATCAATATATAATTAGGTACGCTGACTGCACAATTGATGAAGATCATTTCAAGGCATTAGGGGTAAATAAGAGACCCAAATTTAATAGAATGCCGAGAAATTTCATTGAATGATGGATGAAAAAGATCTTTAGTATTTAAATCTACGTACTAGGTCGACTGAACTAGAAGTTCAGAAGATAGTTAATCTGCGAATATATATATATTGATCATAAAAAGAGTTAGTGACTATGACCCATATACCTTCCCCAACTTGGACCATATGTATCTACTGATACTCCTTGACGCCAAAAGCGTGGGAGACATATCGGAGTAAAAGGTAATAAGAATCCACGGAAAGCTAAATCTATTAGAAAATTTTGTCACTCTTGAAATATCTTAAAGAGCTATGTTTAGAAGACGTTCGTCTAGAAGGTGAAAAATCTCAGTAAATTTATTGGTGCACCAAATAATCATAATATTTGGATGCGGAACGACCAAATCTGAACATTTTTGGAAAATGTCTAGAATCTGGTTGATTTTCAAATTGCCATGAATTTTTATGAACATGGGAGGAATTTATGAAAAATATTATTGTTGCCGACAACACAATTGCCTTTACGAAATGCTCTCGTTATATGATAATTTGGATATAGAGCAAGGCACCAATAGTGTCTTGACTATTTAATGTATGTTACGAAAGTAAAGAGAGAGAGTTTCTAATGTGCTGTCATATATTATATCAAACTCTCATAGGAATAGAAAATACAAAGCCCTATAAATAGGTACTAGAAAACTACGAATAGGAAACAAATTTCCATATGTCCTACCTACCTAAAACCCTAAACTGCCTAATATATAGAGATTCTATATATCAAATATATATTCCTTAACACTCCCCCTCAAGTTGGAGCATATATTTTAATAATGCCCAACTTGTTACACAAATGAGTGATAACCCAAAATAACTAAATAACAAATAACTCAAGTTCATTTAGGACACTCCTTTGAAACGAAAGCTTGAGATTGGATACTCATACTCCCCCTCCAATGAAAGCTTCGAACGCCACGAATCCCACGAACAATGGGTGAACACAAAGTGACCGAACAAGCTTCAAATTGGATACTACCCCTGAAACGAAAGCTGTGAACGCCACCAATACCTACGGACAGTTAGGTGAACTCAACGTGGTGGACCGAACAAGCTTTGGATTGAACCTTCCCCTGAACCAGAAGCTTGGACTCCACCAATACCGCAACTCCGGGTGAACCAAAAGTGGACCGAACAAGCTTGGGCACACAAAGTAAAGAAGACAAACTCCAAATTGGAGGACACAAATTCTTTACTAGAAAAAGGGAAGTATCTTGACTAACAAAAGGGAAGCATGCTCCAATCAACGAGCATAAAAAAAGGAAAGAAAAAAAAAGGAGACAACACCAAAACGAAGGAGAGATAACACCAAACCGAGGCAGCACCAAAACAAGATAGGACCAAAATGAAACAAACTGACCGTAGAACAAAAGTCAATGGTCCAAACTAAGTCCAGAACCAAGACAAACAGACTTAGGCGACCCAGGAACAAGTTGACCAAAATGTTTTTCAATCATTGGAGGAGCCTCACGCGCCGATGGCACGTGAGGCTCACGCGCTAGTCAAAACGTGACGACAACGGAGCGGAAAAAAAAATTATCGTAAAGGCTCAGATACCATGTTACGAAAGTAAAGAGAGAGTTTCTAATGTGCTATCATATATTATATCAAACTCTCATAGGAAGAGAAAATACAAAGCCCTATAAATAGGTACTAGAAAACTACGAATAGGAAACAAGTTTCCATATGTCTTTTCTACCTAAAACCATAAACTGCCTAATATGTAGAGATTCTATATATCAAATATATATTCCTTAACAATGTATAAATGAGCAATTAAGGCATATACAATTCAGCTCACTAAAACAATATTCTCTTTATAACACGTACACCATTTAATGTTAACCATGTAGGTTACAAATGGGTGTTTATATGAAAGAGAAATACAAATAATGAGGTAGTATAATATAAAAGCGAGACTGCTAGCTTAAGGGTTTATGCAAAGACCCTGAATTGATTTTGATCAATTGTACTCTCCCACAATAGATGTCATTACGTTTTGCTAATTAACATCATTAGTAGTGAATAATAGATTTAGATATGCAGTTGATGAATGTTATAATCACAGACATATGAGTCATTATATTTAATTGAAAATCTCCGATGGATTTAAAATTTTTTAAATGAGGTGAAAATCACAACGTGTATCATTAAATTACAAAAGTCTTTATATGACTTGAATATTGAATGATTGAATTGACAGAGTATTTTTCCTCCCGAAGAAGAAATATGCAAAGAAAATATATGTCATTATGTTTTCGTTAATGAATTGCTAATTGATTTATTTCGTATCTTAGTTTATGTTGATGCTATGGATATTATTGAAATACATAATGAGCTTGATGATATCGACTCATGCCTAAAAGGCGGAGTTTTGAAATGAAAGACTTGAAAAATTAAGTATTGTCTCGACTTGAAGATCGAGTATTTCCTTGAAAGAATTTTATACACCAGTTAGCCTACCTTGAAAACGTCTTAGAAATGGTTTTATATGGATAAGTATAATTTACTTACCACACTAATTGTTTCCCAATCTCTTGAGGTAGATAATGAACTACTTTGGATTAAAAGAGGGTAAGGAGTCCATATTTTGGGACTAGATGTAACACCCCACTTTTCTTAAACTTAAATAAAGTTCTAAAACCAAATTAAGATAAACTAAGCAGCGGAAAATCAAACTTAATTAACAAACTTAGTGGGAATGTCACCGCCACAACCACCTTCCCACGGTGATTGCACAGGCTAAGGATAAAACTAAACATCAAGTCTAACTAACATCTGAAATTTACTACATTAAAGTAACTTGGGGAAATAAGTACCCAGGTGTCTATCACCAAACAAAATAACAAGTGTCTACATCCAAATGTCAAAAACACCAATAATAGATCAAGAGTTTAGACTACACAACAACTAGCTACACTAGTCTAACTCGAGCACTCTCATGAGCTTGGCCCACCTGAAAGGGGTTTTGCAAAACAACAAGTAGACAAGTAGAATACACCCGTTAGCACGAACCTAAGTATAACCACACTCAACCCTGTAAAATACTACAGTATATACTTTGAAAAACATTTGATTCACATTCTCAATTTAAGCAATCTTAATCACTTAGACAAAACCTTAATATAAACCACAAAACTTTCTATATGCTCACAACCTAAAATATCAAATAGGCATACTTCAACGATATCAAACCTAACAACATGCTCATACTATCACATACTTAACATAGCAAATCTCAATCCTATATAACAACTCAATAACAATCTCATGCTAACACATAAACTTATCAAGCAATTTCGTACTATCAATCAATAAGAAATTATTCTCATGTTTTCGAGTTCTCATCATGCAAACTAGAAATATCATACATCAATATGCAACTAAGGCAATCATACTCAATATACAATCTCGGGTAATCATTCTTTTTTTTTTTTCTTTTTTTTTATTTTTTTATTTTATTTTATTTTATTTTATTTTTTTTTAATAAAGCTGTACATTTATTTCATCCAAAACCAAGCGTCTACAATCAAACGTCATAGCCCCAAAAGTGGGCTATGGCTCAAATGAGTCTAAAGGCCATTCGGCCGAACTAAATATATACACCACAAGGGGTGACCCAAAAGTGGTCACCCCTCCAAATGAAATTCTAGAGCTCCTAGCTCCTAAACTAAGACATGTAAAAAGGCCAAGGTCTACAACTAAAAGAGACCCACTAAGTGAGTTTCCCCCTTAAAGACTCACTATTCTCCAAACATCCACATACCATAGTCATTGATAGGCTCCCCGTCCCACACAAGTGATGGGAACGATGCCTAGGCTTTATGAATCCAATCTAACCCTGCTACTCTCAAGCCAAAGTCCAATCCCCTCCGGCACGGCGCACCGTGCTTTTATCCGGGGGGACTTTGAAGGTCCCGACTTGAGCAATAGCACTCACCTCATCCACCCTCATGCCCAAGACCAATTCCCCACGGTATAGCGTACTATGTCTTACCCGGGGGGAGCTTTTGAGGTTCCGACATGAGCAATGGCTCCCTCCCCAGCCACCCTTAGACCCAAGGTCAGCTCCCGCGGCACGGCGTACCGTGTTTTGCCCGGGGAGCCTTTACAACCCCGACCTAAGCAATGGCTTATCTCCTTCACTCCCTTCCCTCTTTTAACTTATCATTTTTCCTTTCTCATATTCATCAATTCCTTGCTCTTTTTTCATCAATATTCATCCTTATTTCTCCCTCACTCCCTCTTAACTTTTTCACTTGTCTCAATCAATTTTTTTTTTTTTTCTAAGGATTCATTCAAGCCAAAAACACTCCCAACTCCAAGTGTGTGCTATACGTGGAGCCTATCAAGACCCCACCTTTCATAACACCAACCCGAATGAGCCATTAAGGAAGAAAATCACCCTAGAATCCCTTCTTGTTGTGATCCTTATCCTTCATGTCCATATAAAGAGCCGGGAGATCCACTCTTCCAATCTTCAGCTTTCCTCTACCTGCAAAATTCAATGGCTTCATTCCTACCAAAGTAGGTCCACCAAACAATCATCTGCCCAGCAATGTTGCTGTCAGTACCCTCAGCATGCTGTTTCACCCTCAGCACTGCCCAGCAAGCAGCCATCATTGGGTCATTATCTTTCTGGGGAACAGACTTCAGCCCATAGGCCTCATCAATCTGCTCCCCAGGCCTGTGCACCCTCTGACCTGCCCAGGCTAGCAAGATCTTCATTGGGGTTTTTGACTAAGAGCCAGGTCACCAATCTCCCTCAGATACCTTCATTGGGCCTATCTGGTGCCTCCTGGACTTATGGAAACTAACTGATCTGCCCCTCAGTCTTTGAGTATCAAGAGCATCATTGGGACAGTACTAGTCCAAGGCTCCTGCTCAACTTAGCAGGAGCCCCCAACATCATCTACTTAAGGCATCCATTCCAGGGAGAAGAACAAAATGGGGGATCCCTTCAAGAGCTAGAACTCTGTCCAGTCCCCTAGGAAGACCACACCCATTCAAAAACCATATGCACATCCCTGCACACATCCTAGTCAGGCACCTTGCTACAGCATTAACCCTTTCATTGGTCCTACTGGAGTTGACCTGGTCAGCATACTCCCAATCCAACACCTTATCAGATTCAAAGCACATATCTCTTATATGATTTCTGCATCCCCAGTTCCAACAATCCCTAAGCATTCTCTTAGCTACGGCCTGTATGTCCTCTCCATTCTCAAAAGAGTAGACACCTGCAACACAGAACATGCCCCTAGAATTTCTGATGAAGAAGCCACAGCTGTTGTCTTCTATAGCCCAGTTCACCTTTACACTTCCTCTTCTTGGTCTACACCAACCTGTCCTTTGCACAATCTTACCATAGCCAAAGCTTTCAGCTCTTTTCATTATGAATCCAAAATTAGGGGGCAGAGGGTCCCAAGCAGGCCACTTTCTCTGAATGCATTCAGCTAGATCCTTTGTCACCTTAAAAATTATCCTTGTAACAGAAGGCTTCCCCTTCCCATATTTGCAATGTGTATAATTTACCCAAAGCTCCCAAAGAATCAGAATAGGGAGCCTGTCTGCCATAAACTTGAACATCCTGTTTTTAAAGGCCATCATCCACCATTCATAACATACATGCCTTTCACTTCTAATGAGAATTCTAGCTCCCATGGCCCTGGAGAAATAATCCCAAACTTGATGTGCAGTGTCCCCCATCCCAAAGATATGTTGCAGTGTATCACACCCAGGCTTGACACAACAAGGGCATTTAGAGACTGTTTGATACCCCATTTTTCTTAGCACATCATCCACAGGCAATTTCTTTTTAAAAACTCTCCATGCTAGAAAAGACATCTTCCAAGTAATCCCTTTGTTCCAAATCTTCTTGCACCACAAGCCTCCTTCTCTATTTCTATGCTGCCTCATCAAACCCTTTGCAGATTTAAAATTAAAGCCACCCCCAGTTGGCTTCCACCTTGGCTTATCTGCCCCCTCTCTTATTCTGATGTTCTGAGCTAAGGACTGATCCTGAATCCCAAAGTGGTTCAAATCTAGAGCTCCATTTATCCACCCATCTTTTAGCATGTCTTTGGCTTTCCTTTTTCCTCTCCTATTTAACCATATTGCAAGGGCCCCTTTCCCTGACCAGTTGTCCCACCAGACATTCAGGTTCCCCCTCCTTATATCCCATTGAATCTCAGGTTCCACTTTCTCTCTAACTTCCACCATCCTCCTCCAAACATGTGAGTCCTTATAGTTCCAACCCCTAGCCACTGGGTGTACTTCATTGCAGTATTTTGCTTTAACAAACTGACTCCAGATTGACTCTCCTCTTCTAAAATTCCACCACAACTTAGCTCCAGCTGCATCAATCATTTCCTGTAATCCAGTGAACCATACTCCCCCCTCAGATGTTGGCTGTGACAATGTTTTCCACGAGCTCCAGTGGTGCTTCTTTTTCCCTTCCATTTTCCCCCAAAAAAAAGTCAGCTATCAGGCTTTCAATTTGCTTAACCACTGCTTTGGGGGGCTTGATAGCATAAAATATGTGTGTGGGCATTGTCTGAAGCACTGATTTAATCAAAACAGATTTTCCCCCTTGTGAGAGTAGTCTAGCCTGCCAGCCTTTACATCTTGCTGCCACCCTCTCAACCAGATTCACAAACAAACTTACTTTTTTCCTCCCCCGGTATATGGGGCATCCCAGATAGGTAAATGGGAAGTCCTTAACTTGACAGCCTGTTACCTCCTCCATTCTCCCCACAGCTTCTTGGGTAGACCTTTTGTGCATATAAAAAGCACTCTTGCTTTTATTGATTAATTGTCCTGACTGGCCTTCATATTTTCCCAGGGCCTCCATCACACCTTCAATTCCCCCATTTTTCCCAGATGTGAACACCACCATGTCATCAGCAAAGGCCAAATGTGTGATTTTTGGCCCCATCACTGGTTGAGTAAAGAGAGCCTCCTTTTGACTTATTAACCTGGACAATAACTCAGCAGCAAGAATAAACAAACTGGGAGACAAAGGGTCTCCTTGCCTCAACCCTCTGGTAGAGTGAAAGAATCCCTTTGCCTCCCCATTTATGATCACAGAATACCAAATGTTGTTTATGGAGTTATTTACCAGTTCAATCCATTTTCTACAAAATCCCAGTTTTTCAAGAACTAGCTGAATACATCCCCAATCCATTCTATCATAAGCTTTAGTCATGTCAAGCTTCAAAATAACATCCTCATTTGAAAGTGTCATTCCATGGCAGATTTCTTGTGCCAATAAGATATTATCTGTTATATTCCTTTCTTTTACAAAACCAGATTGGGTTGGGGATATTATTCTTGCTAGCACTCCTGCCAGTCTTTGAACCATGATTTTGGTGATTATTTTGCTGCAAAAATTACTTAGGCTTATTGGCCTGAATTCATTAAAACTGGCAGGATTTGGCACTTTTGGAATTAAAACAATAGAGGTGCTGGTTATGGCCCTTGTTAGGCCTTTACCAGCAAAAAAGGATCTTACCAAGCTGCCAAGGTCATGCTTTATTATTTCCCAACAAATTTGATAGAATCCACCTCCAAATCCATCAGGGCCACAAGCACTATTAGGGTTCATGCTAAAGACTGTGGCCCTGATCTCCTCCAAAGTAGGCTCTGCAATCAGCTTCTGGTTCTCTTCCTCAGTCACACAGACCTGCAAACAGTCAAAAATTGTATTTTCCCTATTTAGGGGTTCAGCAGTGTATAGATTTTGGAAGAATTCCACTGCTAAATCTGCAATTTGCCCTTGTTCCTCTACCCACACTCCCTCATTATTTTTAATCTTGTGGATCACCTGTTTTGCTCTCCTCTCTTTCACTAAGCCATGAAAATATTTTGAGTTTCTCTCCCCTTCCACCACCCATTGAGAATGAGATTTTTGTTGCCAAAACTTTTCTTCAATTCTAACTTGTTTCTGAAGTTTGGCTTGACTCAGTTTATATGCAATCAGATTCTCCTCTGAGGGATCATCCTGCATTGTTTTTTCATCATCCCTCAATTTTTCCTCCAACTCACTCACCTTTTCAAAAATGTTCCCAAACACCTCCCAATTCCAGTTTTTTAACACCCATTTTACTTTCTTGAGTTTTGTCATGAAAGAGTACATCTCATTACCCTCCACTCTCTCCTCCCAGACCCTCTGCACCACCCCCTTTAATTGTTCATGATTTCCCCAAGCATTTAGGAAGATAAAAGGCCTTCTGCCCAAGCTTAATTGAGGGTTGATGTCCATCACCATAGGACAGTGATCTGATGTGGCCTTGGATAGGTGATGGACATAGGTCTTTATATTTTCCTCCCAGCTGTCATTAACTAGGATTCTATCTAATCTTTCCCACACTGCATTGCTCCCTCTCCTACCATTCCACCAGGTGAATTCATTCCCATAAAAGGCCACTTCTCTTAAGGCAGCACTGTCAAGACAATATTGAAACTCTCTACTTTTTGCAATTCTATAGGGCTGACCCCCTTTTTTTTCCTCACATCTTAGAATGCAATTAAAGTCACCTAAAACTGACCATTTTCCTTCCCCTACCTCCCCCTCAGCTATGGCCTCTATTAGGTCCCATAACTCTTGTCTTACTGCCCTGTCACAGCTAGCATAAACAAAAGACATGTTTACACTGCCTAACACTGGCAAGGTCACCCTCACACTCACCATTTGCTGACCCTTATCCCATGGATCCACTAGGACATCTCTATCCCAGAAGATCCATATCTTCTCTGTGCCACAACACCTGTTCTCAAAGCCAATTGAAACAGCAAACTGTTCCAGCTTGGACAGATCCCTGAAAGGTTCAAGTAGACACAGTATCTTAGGCTTAAACTGTCTCACCAAGTTTCTGATTCTGTAAGGGGAGCCTTGGGAGACCACGCCCCTCACATTCCAGCATATGATCTTCATTTAAAAGTCTGACATGGAGGCACCACCCCCCACAGTTCTTGCAACTTTTGCCTTCTGTGCTCTAGTTTTGGCAATGGTCTTTTCTTTCACAAGTTTTGTGCAAAAATTCTCATTATGCAATCTCGTGCAATACTATACTCAAATGCAATCTCGTGCAATACTATGCTCAAATGCAATCTCATGCAATACTATACTCAAATGCAATCTCATGCAATACTATACTCAAATGCAATAATATGCTATAGGATAAGTATACTTATACACTCGTTTGTAAATAGAATACTTTTCTGTGGAGGTTTCTTAGAGTCACAATGACTCACTTTCTTTCTCTTGAGTCTCTTGACTCGATTTCTTTCTTGCTCAAACTTTCTCATACTTCTCGTTTCTCTTCTTGTGCGAGGCAGGTACTCCGCCGCAGCGAAGCCCTAGCGTACAGTGCAATCTCGTGCATCCGCCACATCCGTAACTACGGAACCTCTAACTCGTGGGGAGGTAGGTCTTCACGAATCGTGAGTGGACCTAACCGGCTCGGCAATCTAGCCGGCCACATACTCAACTCGCCCACAGAACCACTCTCTTGGTTCTATGCTCAAACTCTGGAATCAGGTATCTTACTTTTAGTGTGCACACCCCCTAACCAGGATTCCAAGTCTGGTGGGCAGTCTCCAACCTCGTAACGTGAGAATACACCGCGTTACATGATAAATCTGTCGGATCGCAATGTCCGATCATCCTCTCCAAAAGGACATAGTCCTAACGGTCCTCCTATACCTCACTTATATAGATAATATATATATATATATATATATATATATATATATATATATATATATATATATATATATATATATATATATATATATCATGCACCAAACTTATGCATGTCACATCTCAACAACTTCTCAATGCAACAAGGTAATGACATACCACATGCTCATGAATTTTGGAAAATAATATTTAGGCTCACTTTAGCCATTTATGCACTTATAAAACATGATATGCCTGAAATGTAAATGAATGCACAACATGTTTCAATTCTATATGTCATGTGAACTCTCAAAGAACACACAGTCATACTTGGGTTGCAAAACAACATACTCTGTACATTTCTACCATCAAAATAGACTTCAATTTCTATTGAACATACAACACATTCTAGTCATGCTTTTTTAACAATTCTTATTCACAAAGTGTTCATGCTTCTCTATTCAAATACTCAGATAGCATCAGGAATATAAAACAAAGCAAATCCCATAGGCAGTGAACTCAAATAACATTATTGTGAAGCATTTCATCATAAATTCTACCATAACATGCTCATTTCTAATCCAAATTCAACGAAATCAAAGCCAAGGGCCCATGACACCTGGTCTGAAATGACACGTAGCTGAGTCGCAAGGGCCCGGCCACTACACAGGGAACAACTCAACGGACCTTGGGGCAATGCTCAGCTAGGCCCGCCTCTCGAACCGTCATCTCACCGGCTCTAGGTAACGGGCCTCTCCTAGGGCCGTTCCCTAGGCCCGGCTGGCCACGGCTCTAGCCAACAGACCCCTTGTTGGGCTGTTGGCTGGGGCCGGTGAATCTACTGGTGCACACTGCCTGTGCACCAGATGATTTCTTCTCATTTGCAAAACATTTTCAGGCAAATCTGGCACATTCAGAACATCAACAACACATCATAGACAACTAATAGATCACTTAATAGCTCAAACACTTCAAAAATCTAGCATTTCTACTCATTTTTACCTATAAAACAATGGCTTCACAGAGCCAAAACTTAAGATAGGAGTCAATGGGGTTATTCCTTTGTTGTTTCCTCTTCTTTCTCTTGTGTGGTTACCTTTCCTTTCTTTCTCAGATGATACCTTCCTTCACCACCTATTTCCTCAAACAACATAGGTACATTCTAAGCTTAAGACAACCTCAGAGATAGAAGATTAAGAGATGAAACCTTAAGGGAAGAAGAGGAAGGGATGTGAAATCTTACTGCTTTGTTCTTCTTGTTTACAGAGAACACAATGTTGAAGGGGCAAAGAAGAGATCAGGAGAAGCAAAGAGATTATGAAGCTTATAAAGGGTGCAAAACCCTAGGAGATTCTCCTATGATTGGTTGAGGATAAAATAGTAATTTGGTTGAGTTCTACAAAATATCAGACAAGTTTGTGGTCTATCTTACAACATGGACCATAGTCTAGGAATGAGATTTTAAATAGTTTGGGGTCAAAAATACATTTTTCTAGAAATACTTTCTAGACAATCACTTAGTTTAGGTTTCTCAGATTTCTCCCGGTTTCACTCAAATTGACTTTCGGATCAAAAACTAGGTACGCAATGTACCAGAGAATTTAGGATTTTAGATTTAAAATAAGTCCCGATGTTGAATTTATTTAAAAGTGGTTCAAAATAATTTATTCAAATACCGATTTCATCG